TATTAGATAATAAAGTATAAATTAATAGCACAAGCGCCTATCACCCAATGCCCTGGGGCGCTAACTGGCCTCTCTANGCTTTATTAAATAATAAAGTATTAATTAATAGCACAAGCGCCTATCACCCAATGACCCAGGGTGCTTACTGGCCACTCTGTGAAATAATAAAATATTAATTATCAACACAAGCGCCTATCAACCGATGACCCGTGGTGCTCACTGACCACTTTATTAAATAATAAAATATTAATTAATAGCACAAGCGCCTATTACGCAATGACCCAGGGCGCCAACTGCCTACACCATTATATAATAAAATATTAATTATTAACACAAACGCCTATCACCTGATGACCTGGGAAGCTCGCTAGTCGCTTTATTAAACGATATATAATATTGATGACTAACATAAGTGCCTATCACCCAATGACACGGGGCACTAACTAACCTCTCTATTAAACAATAAAGTGTTAACTATTAACACAAGCACCTATCACCTGATGTCCCGGGGCGCTTACTAGTCGCTTTACTAAATAATGTAGTATGAATTAATAGCAAAAGCGCCTGTCACCCGATGTCCCAGGGCGCTAACTGACCTTTCTATTAAATAATAAAGTATAAACTATTAACACAAGCGCCTATCACCCGATGTCCCGTGGTGCATACTGGCCACTCTATTAAACAATAAAATATTAATTATTAACACAAGCGCCTTTCACCCGATGACCCGAGGTGCTTACTGGCCTCTCTATTAAATAATAAAATATTAACTATTAACACAAGCACGTATCACCCGATATCCCAGGGCACGAAATGACCTCTCTATTAAATAATAAAGTATTAATTCATAGCACAAGCGCCTGTCACCTGATGTCCCACGGCGCTTACTGGTTGATTTATTAGATGATAAAGTATAAATTGATAGCACAAGCGGCTATCACCATATGACCTGGGGCGCTAACTGCCTACACTATTATATTATGATCAAATATTAACTCTTAACACAAGCGCCTATTACCTGATGACCTGGGGCGCTCACTGGTAACTTTATTAAACGATATATATTATTGATTAATATTAGAAGCGCCTATCACCTAATTACCCGGGGTGCTAACTAGCCTTTCTATTGAATAATAAAGTATTAATTATTCTCACAAGCGCCTGTCACCCAATGACCTGAGGCACTTACTGGTCGCTTTATTAATTGAAAAAGTATTATTTGATAGCACAAGCGCCTATTACCCAATGACCCGGGGTGTTTACTGGCCACACTGTCAAATAATAAAATATTATTTATTAACACAATTTTCTATCACCTGATAACCCAGGGTGCTTACTGGCCACTCTATTCAATAATAAAATATTAATTAATAGCACAAGCGCTTATTACACAATGACCCGGGGCACTAACTGCCTACACTATTATATAATAAAATAATAATTATTAACACAGGCGCCTATCACCGTAGACCTGGGGCGCTCACTAGTCGCTTTATTAAACGATATATATTATTGTTTAATAACACGAGTGCCTATTACCCAATGACCC